AGAGTGCTCTGTATGTCTAGACAGTTGAGCTAGTTCGTTGTGTTGTTTAGCTCCTTCCTCTGTGTCTTTATTGAGTTTCTTGTTGGATGAACTGTCTTTCCTTGAGAGTGGTGGACTGAAGTCTACTATTATTGTCAAGTTATGTGTCTTTTCAGTTCTTTGAAAGTTTGATGGATGTATTTTGAGGCTTTTTCACTGGATGTATATGTTTGTCGTGGTTATGTCTCCTTGTTCTATTGCTCCTTTAATCATTATGTAGGGTCCATTGTTGTCTCATTATGTTACTTGCCTTGAAGTCTACTTTTTGGATACTAATATTGCCATTGCTGCTTTTTAAAATATGTGTCATTGGCTTGGTAAATATTCCTCCACCCTTTGAGTTTTCAGTTTTCTTTTTGAGTTTAAGGTTTGTCCCTGTGGGCAGCATATAGATGGGTCATTTTTTTCTACTCCAGTCTGTTAATCTCTGTCTCTTGATTGGTGTATTTAATCTATTGATATTGTCATTATTGATATATGTGGGTTTGTTGCTGTCAATTTGCTGTGTGTTTGGTTTCTATTCCTTTTCTTGTATATGGTTTTATTCATGTCTTTGTCCTCTAATTCTGTGTTGTTTTGTGTGTTGCTTTCGTTGTATTGGCTTTTAGATGGTGTGGTGTCCTTTATGTTGCTTTTAGTTTTTTTTTTTTCCTCTTGCTGATTCTCTGCACTCAGGATTGAAATTGGAGTCTGACTGCAATATGTCATGATATTTATCTATTGGAACTTATCCTGTCTGGAGTTCTCTCAGCTTCTTGAACAGTCATTTTCTCCTCCTTTGTGATGTTGGGGAAATTTTCTTCTGTGATTTCTTTTACTATTTTTTTCTGTAAAAAATTAATTTTTCCATGACTGCAATAGATGTAATTTGTTTCTCTTGACAGTGTTCTACATCATTATCAGGCTTTCTTTGGATTATTTTGCTTTTTTCTCCCTCATTATTTAGAATCAGAGTAATTGTCTTCAAGCTCTCTGATTCAATTACCCCTTTATTCCAATCTATTACTTAAATCTTTTGCCCTGTTGTCTGATTCTGTTTTCTTACTATCTTTTGGTGTCCCTTTTGGTGTATGGTTTCTAGTTTTTCAATGCTTTGGGTTGTTCTCATGAACACACCCTACATCCCTTGAAGGAACCTAAATACCACTTTTGAATTCTATTTCTGACAGTCCTAGGACATCTTTGTCAGAGCATTCCATTGAGTTTGAGAGGTTGTGTGTGTGTTTTAAATTTTTGTGTGTACTGTGGTTTATTGCTTTTTTCAATAGCATCTTGGTGCAGTGGTTAGTGGTGTGTGTGCTGCTGAGATGTGTAGGGGTAGTTAGTTCTGTCAAGTGACAGGAGAGAGGTCTAATAGAAGCCATAAAACATACAGTGGTGAAATGGACAATGGGAAAATGAGAGACAAGGAGAGATGGGTAATGGGGGAACATAATTGGGGAGGGAAGATAATAAAGAAAATGAAAATAAATTTCACTAGGAAAAGGAGAGAAAAGAGATAGTGGGTAGAGCAGGAGAAACATATAAGGAAATAATTAGTGCAGAAGAGGATTTATGTATGCATATATTTAGAAGTAGCATTAAAGAAGACAGATAAGAGTATAGGGGTAGAAGACAAAAGAAAGTAAAATATAAGAGGAGGAAATTTTTAAATGTGCAGAGATGGAAAAAGAATTCAAATGATGGGGGATAGCCTGGTCATGGATGTAGAGTTCTATTGTTATGGCAATGAGAACATAGGTGGGTCTGTGCTCATAAAGGAAAAGAGGTAGAAAATAGTTTTAAAAAATGATGTGGTGGTGTTTGGGTGGGTGTGACTAGATCTGCAGGCTTTCCAATGTCTCCTTGGAATGTGCAGGATAAGTGAAAGTAAGAGGCAGTAAGAAAAACTGGGGGGCGGGGGGAATAAAACAAAAATAATAAAATAAAATCACAGTGTGGGTAGCAATTCCTAATCCTTTGTCAGTGTTGGTAAGTGTACACATCGGCCACATGGTGGTGGGGAAAAGCATTGCTGGGTGGTGAGGATGTTTGCATTAAGTTGCCCATGTGGTCTACTATCCACGCAGAGGCCCGTGAAGTAAGAGGTTTGGCTGCGTGGGTTGTAACAGTGGCAGGGAAGGTTCAGCTTGTGCAGGGAAAGGGGGGTGCAAAGAGCAGCTCAGATCATTGGTCATTGGTGAAGGGGTGACAGTAACAAAAAACATTGCTGATCTCCAACTTTAAGAAATTTTGGTGAGCTTAGCTTGTTTTTCTGGCTTCCATGTAGCACTGGCTTCCTGGTGGGATGTCTCCAGAAGTTGCTAACACACTTGTCATTTGTTACCTGGCAGCAACATTCTTCCTTAATCAGTTTTTTGGCATTTTTAACCAATATCTTTTGCCTCAGGTACCTGTGGGTTACTTCAGCTTTCAGTGCTTCATACTCAGACAAGTTAGAACAGAAACATGTAATAATTTGCAAATAAAGTTTGTTCTGCTCTTTAGAACCAGACGGTCTTTCTCCAAAAACACAGGCTACCACCGCTTAAAACTGCTGCCATGCCCAGTTGAGGGCACAGGGAAAGTGAAGATTTCCTGCCACTTTGAAGGCCTCTTTTCTTGATTCAGTGTTTATGATTGCTGTAAACCTTTTGACTGATCTCCAGAATTCTGACCTAGTTGATTCTGCCAGTTTCTGCTTGTTGTTGTTAGTTTTAAAAAAATATTTCTATGAGAGTACAAGAGCTTAGAACTCCATCATCTTGCTTTGCCTTCCTTATTTTGAGCAAAACTACTTGGGACTGTAATACAAGCAAAGAAATATGGCAGGTTATATATATATTTTTAAATCATTTTATATTTCTAACTTTATAAATCGGTGAACTAATTGAGAGTATGTGGCTAAGAAGCTTCACATAAATTCTTATGTTCCAACAAACTGAATTTGTGAGCAGCACGTGCCTTAGGAGTTCAAGATATCTTTGCCAATCCTTATTGTCGTACCTTTACAGGCTAGTAAGTGAATAACATATACAGCCAGAAATACAGATTTGTAAAGAAGCAATGTTTATTAAAAGAAAAAGGCCACAATACATGGAAAAGATAGTGGGGAGAAAGTAAACTCAGTCACATGTTCTTTGATCACTTAAGGGATCCAGTTTTCTACTCCAATTTATTAGTGTAAAAATTTCGGTTACCTAGTCCATGTTGTAATTTTTACTTTCAAAGGGAGTGTAAAGGAACAGAAGATTGCCCTGAACAAGCCTCCAAATCAGCATGGAGTGATGGCTTGTGAAAGATAGACTTTATCCTATGTTTACTGAGGTGAGGCTTCGGGTTAAAGCTTTGCCCATATGTCCTGCACACATAAGAATTCTCCCCGTTGTGTGCCATTTGATGTAAGAGGAGGTGAGACTTTTGAATGAAGCCTTGACCACATTCTCGACATACACAAAGCTTCTCTTCTGAGTGTAACTGCTTATGTGCAATTAAAGTTGACTTATTGCTAAAGCCAAGTCCACACTGCCTGCACATACACGGCTTCTCCCTTGAGTGTTTCCTGTTGTGTCTGATGAGACCTGCCTGGTGACTGAAGCCTCTCCCACAGCCCCTGCATACATAAGGCCTTTCTCCTGAATGTGTCCTCTGGTGTGCAATTAGGTTTGATTTCTGGCTGAAACCTCGCCCACAATCATCACACACCATGGGCTTCTCTCCTGAGTGTGTCCTCTGGTGTCTAATGAGATTTGACTGTTGGCTAAAGCCTCTACCACAATCCTGGCATACGATGGACTTATCCCCTGAGTGTATATTCTGGTGTCTGGTGAGGTGTGACTTCAGGCTAAAGCCTCGTCCACACACCCCACACACATAAGGCTTTTCCCCAGTGTGTGTCCTCCTATGTGAGATGAGGGTTGAATTCTGGCTAAAGCTGTGCCCGCACACCCCACAAATGTAAGGCTTCTCTTTTGAGTGTGTCCTTTGGTGATTGACAAGGGTTGTCCTCTGCCTAAAGCACCGCCCACACTCCTTGCAAGCATAAGGCTTCTCCCCTGAATGTGTCCTCTGGTGTGAGATGAGGTTAGATCTATCACTAAAGCCCAGTCCACAATCACTACACATAATAGTCTTCTCCTCTGAATGTGTTCTCTGGTGTCTAACAACAGCTGATTTTTGGCTAAAGCCTTTCCCACACTCCCTGCACACATAAGGTTTTTCCCCTGAATGTGTCCTCTGATGTATGATAAGGTTTGACTTTTGACTAAAGCCTCGCCCACACTCACTGCACATATAAGGCTTTTCACCCGAGTGTGTTCTCTCATGTATGATGAGGGTTGACTTCCTGTTAAATCCACGCCCACACTCCCTGCATACAATAGGTTTCTCCCCTGAGTGTGCTTTCTGGTGTCTAGCAAGGCTTTTCTTTAGACTAAAGCCCTTCTCACAAACCTCACACACATAAGGCTTCTCTCCTGAGTGTATCCTCTGGTGACTAAGTAGGTTTGTCATCTTGCTGAAGCCTAGTCCACACTCTTCACAGTTGACTGTACCAAATCCTAAGACTTCTATCCTCTTTAGTAATTTGTCTGTTTCCTCGGGGATGCCCCTTTGAGCTTCACTGGCCTCTATTTCCAAACCTCTGATGTCATTCTCAGATTGGACTGGCTTCCTGGAAAAAGTCGCTAATGTTGGTTCCTTCATTCTTCTATAAGTAGGTTTGACACCTTCTCTCTCTTGATCTTTTGATTTGCCACTCCAGGATCTTTCATCAGAAGGTTGTTCCTTTTGTTGTGTTTCTGAACAAGAATTCCCGGTCTGGACACAATGCTCAGTACACAAGCAGGTGAACATCCAAGGGGCATGACTGCAGAGCACATGTTGCTTGTGGAATTTCTGATTGGAGAAATCCAAAGGGCAGAAAGGACAGGGCTGGATTTCCGGCTTTGGTTCTGCTGCAGAGAGAAAGGTCTGAATCAGAATGGAAACTGGTTGGGCAGCCCAGAAATTCTGCCTTTCCTGATCATGACACTTGATCCACTATTCTTCAAAATGCTTAAAACTTAAATATTATCCTAATTGAAAGTTCCTTTTCTGTTCCATTCCCACGTGTCACATCTATGACAATCCAGAAAACCTATTCCTAAAATCTGTTCTAGCATCAGATTATAAACACTCAAATAAGCATCACAAACCGTTTGGGGCCTATAACTAGGGGTAACATGTAGTCATGTTTTCCTTTACTACAATTATCTCTTAACCCATTACTAACCATATGAATAGAATCCAGGTGCACACATGTTTGTTTTGACTGAGACACAGCTAATTTTGTAACTTATGTATAAATAAATGTCCTTATGTTCTTCTATTTCCCTATGAGGATATAGGGATGGAGAGAGAGAAAGAGTGTGCAAGAGAGAAGGAGGGCAGTTATTCAGTCTGGATAAGCTCTAGGATAGAAAGTAGTATAAAAAAATAGCTAAAAAGATCATGTGTGGGGATTTGGGGAAATGGTGGTATACACAGACTACTGTTACAATCGCCATGCCACCACCACCACCACCCCAATACAAAAAGAAAAAGACGTTTTCTTGCTTTAAGGCTTCTGAATCAAGGAGTAGAAGAAAGCAGCAGAGAACTGCAGACAAGCAAGAGTCAGCCAATCAACAAAGAATTGCACAGAATAAGAAAACCACTTCTCCCAGCCCATGCCCCTTTCCCTAGTGAAGGGAGCCACTGGGAATTGTGAACTAAGAAAGTGCCCCTAGCAAAGGAGCCTGCTTTTCTTTCTTTCTTTAACAGATAAATTAGGACTTCATCAACATGTCATACAATTCAATAATTCAACCATATCAAGAAGAGTTGTACAATTATCACCACATTAAATTCTAGAACATATTCTTCATTGTACTCAATGCTATTCATGTAATTATTGTTTTTTCTAAATCTGGCAAAAAAAATACACAACAAAACAGTCTCCAATTCCACAACTTCTACATGTATAATTCAGTGCCATTGATTATAATCCTAATGTTGTACACCATTATTGATATCCTTTCCAAATTATTCCACTACCATTAACATAAACTCAATATCCCCTAAGCAACAACTCTTTCTTCTTCACCCATGGTAGCCATTGGTGAAGCTTGGTTCCTTTTCTTTTTAGTAGTTTTCTTGATACAGCACTCACATATTATATACTTCCATGGTTAAATCACTTTCTAAACAAGTTGTAAATACATCATCACAATCAGTCCTAGTGCTCCTTCCCCACTCCTGCAATCGTTGTTTGTTCCTCAAATGCCCTCACTCTCCCCATACCCTGTCTGCCTTCCACATCCCCGTTAAACTACTGCATTAATTATTTTCTCTATGCCTCTACTCCTTCTGTGCTTCACAACAGAAACAGCAAAACAAAACAGCAAGAAGAAAATAATAATAATGCAATGATCAAAATAGAAATAAAGTGTAATAAAGAAAAGACCACAATATTTAAAAGGCCAGAGAATAAATTTCTATCCTGTATCAGGTGAAAAATACTTAAGCCTAGAATAGATTCAGGTTGGATCAAAAGGGAGGTCAACTGACAAAGTATATGAGGGGATACCCCCCCCCCAAAAAAAAAAAAGGAAAAATAGCTCTGCTGAGCAGAGCTTTCAGAGTATGCATTTGCCCAGCAACTTGCTCTGACTTCGTGGTGTCGCCTAGGAAGGTTTTCTCTGGTCACAGTGAATTTTTTTCATAAAAGCACTTTTACAGGAACCTCATTTTTTTTGTGATGCCCAATTTAAGAGAACAGCATGCGGCTGTGAGTTTTTATTTCATGGCCAGGAAAAATGCCGCAGAAACTGTGGTGATGTTGAACATAACTTACAAGGACAGCACTATGGGGAAAACTCAAGTGTATGAGTGGTTTTCTCATTTCAAAAAAGGTGAACTGTCAATTGATGACAAACTTCGTTCTGGATATCCGTCAACTTCCCAAATACACGGAAATGTCAACATTTGATAGAGCATTTGGAATTCATTCTACCAGGTCAGACTGTAAATCAAGCTTTTTATTTAGAGGTTCTGAAAAGATAGTGGAACAGTGGGCAACAAAAAAAGTCCTGACTTGTGGCAGAAGACGAACTTGTTTCGCCACCATGATATGTACCTGTTCATGCAGCCATCTCAGTGCCGCAGATTTTGGCAAAAAACAGCATGCCTCTCTTGCCCCACACACCTGACTCACCTGACCTCACTCTGTGTGGCTTCTTATTGTTTCCTCGAATGAGGAGGGAAATGAAAGAACAATGATTTGACAACATAGAAGAGGTAAAAGAAAAAAATGAGAGTGGTGTTGTCAGCCATCCAAACAGATTAGTTTGAAAAAAGTTTCTAAGAATGGAATCACATAAGAGTTGTGTGAGCCCCCAATAAAATGATTTAAAAAAAATACTATATGGGCTATGCACAGAAATTTTGCTACATAGCATTTTATTATTTTGTTCTATATATTTTCTAATTTCCACATGACTTTTTTCAGCTCACCAATACATCAAATGTCAATTTTTAAGATTTTTTTTTTTAAAGATCATTTTGCTGGGAGCTCTTGTAGCTCTTATAACAATCCATACATCAATTGTGTCAGGCATATTTGTGTATGTGTTGCCATCATTATTTTCTAAACATTTACTTTCTATTGGAAAAAAAAAGAATGGAATCACAGATTGACAAATGTATTAAGTATAATGGAGAGAACTTTGAAGGTGCTAAGGTTGTTTTAAAAAAAAATTAAGATGCATAACTTTGAAAAAAAATTCCATTTGGGGGGGGGGTTACCCCTTGTATTATACCATGGTTCGATCCACCAGAATCAAGTTTACAATAATCTGTCTGACAGTGAAGCTGTGAGAGACACTTGCCTGTGGCTAGAGACCTAATCTGACTAGATAAGTCTTCAGGTGGATTGGGGGTTTCCACTGTCCTCCCTCTCCTTCTACAAATAGGGTGTTCACAATTTTAGCTCAGATACTTTTCCCATCATCATTTGGATTTTGTTATGGTCATCTTTGGATCACACAGAGAGCCTGTTTTTATAATCACTACACCCTATGCCCATATCAAGGGCTAGGACCCCAGGTTTATATTTAAAATTCAACAAGGCAGCTCTCACCAAGGATCCATTTGGAATATGCTAGCACCTCCTAGACTGTCAATCGCAAGATGTTGAGAATTGCGACAGAAATCAGTTCTCATAGTCAGTGCTCTGCATGCCTTCATGTGCACCACAGATCTGGCCTGTGTACCCACAGATCAAACTTCTGACATCAACAGAACAGATCTCCTTGGGCTCAGTTTGGTACTGTCTGCTTCTCTTTGTGCTTACTCAGCACTGAGGGCTTCTGACTGAGGCTCTTGGTACCAGGAAGCAGGCATCTTGAGTGAAGGCTTCAGCCATAGTCAACACACTATCATAGTCAACACACTATTGATAGCAACAAAAGAGATCTCCCTGGGTGAGATAGTGAACATTTATTGTGCCAACATGGCCAATGAACACGTGGGACTAACTGAAGGGCAGAGAGAGAAATGGCTCGGTGAGCCTCACTTCTCTTGTCTCTTGTTCTTTGATCATCGGACCAGTGTGCGGCTCCCTTACTTGTTCTCTGCCTCAATTTGCAAGCTACACAACCTGTGGAACACCTAACTTGTAGACTGTGTTGCTGTAATATGAGGTTCCTTCAAGACCTGCTTCACTACACTATGGAATTTACATCTCTTGAGCAGGGGACTGTTGGACCCTGTCATCTGGCTGACTGTTGGTGACCTGCCTTGCTGTTTGCTGCCTGTGCCCGCATAGCCTGAATTGCTCTACAGAGGACTACCCAGCGGCCCTCAAGACTTGAAGGACTGCCAGTGTCTCACAACTGTCTCACGGGAGTGAGTTGCACCGATCCATTTGTACTGTTTTATAACTTAATTAACTGTTTATTTCTTATGTTATCTATCTATATAAATATGTATAAAATTATAAGCGTTCTGGTTTTGTTTCTCTAGAGAACCCTGTCTAACACACTGGGGATCTGCCCCTCCTGGAATGGTCCAGGTGCTCTTTACGCTCCCTCACCTGCTAGACTGATGTGAACGCCAACACTTACCTACATTTGTGTCCAGAAGAGGGTCACCTAAATGGAAACTACTCACAACCGCCATCGGGCCAAGTGGGGCTCTGAAACCAACAAGACAGATCTCTGGGAGGCCCTTCTGGAGAGTGCCAGCCCCACCCCATTCCTGAAATGGAGGTTTGCTGTGCTCCCCCACTGAATGTCAGCTCAGCTATAAGCAGTCCCCACATCCAGGAAGGAAAACTTGGATAAAACTTCAGAGCAAAAGTAAACCCTGAGGGGGATCACTGGGTATGATCTTACAACTAAAACTGTAGTTGCAAAAACGGAAGAAAAAGGGAGTAATAACCAGAGAGATAGAGAGAGAACAATACCCTCTAATAGGAAGATTGACTACTGCTTAATATTTTGCCTAAATGGTGGTATCTTTTGATGGACAGACTGAGCACAGTGTGTTTTCTACTGTGTTTGGGAAACACTGAAAAGTTAAAACTGTGATATGGATACTAATAAAACCAGGAAGAGAGAAAGAGCTGTCAGAGGGAAGGGTAACAAGCAAAAGCAGAAGGCTGTCTGCCTAAAACGTTATTGTAGAAAGTAGTGTGTACACACACACACACACACACACACACACACACACACAAAATACTCTTGAAAATTCCAATGCCCTAACATAAAATCAAAAGATCAGAGTGGCTTTCAGAAGAGACTCTGTAACTTGCTCTTAATAATAGTTAAATCAAATGGAGGAAACGATGAGGTCAAAGAGCTGAACAGGAAATCTCAAAGGACAGTTCGAGAAAACAAATTAAACTATTATACTGAAATGTGCAGAGACCTAGACTTAGAAAACCAAGAAGAAAGCACACACTCAGCATGTCTGAAACTGAAGAACTCAAGAAAAGAATTCAAGCCTCAAGTTGTAATACTGAAAGATTCGATGGGCAATACATTCGATGATACAGGTAGCATCAAAAGAAGATACTGTACCAAAAAGAACGAGTCGACATTCAACCATTTCAGGAGGTAGCATTTGAGCAAAAGCCAATGGTGCTGAAGGATGAAGTCCAAGCTGCACTGAATGCATTAGCCAAAAACAAGGCTCCCGAATCATGGAATACCAACTGAAAGGTTTCAAAAAGCCAGTGAAGCACTGGAAGCATTTACTCATTTATGCCAGGAAATAAATATGGAAGACAACCACTTGTCAACTGACTGGAGGAGATCTGCATTTGTACCCATTCCAAAGAAAGATGACCCAAAAGAATGCTCAATTTATAGAACAATATCACTGATATCACATGTAAGTAAAATTTGACTGAAGATCATTCAACAATAGTTCTAGCAGTACATTGACAGGGAGCTGCCAGAGGTTCAGGCTGGATTCAGAAGAGGATGTGGGACAAGAGATAGCATTGCTGATATTAGATGGACTTTGGCTGATCATCATAAACTACTGTAGATCATCATAAACTGCTGTACAGATACCCTTGAGAATAATGGGAATTCCAGAATACTTCATTGTGCTCATGCAGAGCTTGTACATGGATCAAGAGGCGGTTGTAAGAACAGAACAAGGGACACTGCATGGTTTAAAACCAGAAAAGCTCTGCATCCGGGTTGTGTCCTCTCACCATACGTATTAAATTTGTCTGTTGAGCGAAACTTCAGAGAAGCTGGATCATCTGAAGAAGAATGTGGCATAAAGATTGGAGGAAGGCTTATTAATAACATGCCACAGACAAATGACACAACCTTGGTTGCTGAAAGTGAGGAGGACTTGAAGCACTTGATGAAGATCAAGCATTGTAGTCTTCAGTACAGATTACAGCCCAATGTAAAAAAGACCGAAATCCTCACAACTCAATGAACAGGTAACATTATGATAGAGTAAAAGTTGAAGTTTTCAAGGATTTTGTTTTGCTTGGATCTACAAAAATAATGTTCATGGAGGCAGCAGTCAGATAAAAAGATGAATGAGTTACAATGGGTACATCTGCTGCACATGACCTCGTTAAGAGTATTGAAAAGCAAGGGTGTTACTTTGAGGACTAAGGTGCACCTGACCGAATCCATGGTATTTTCCAATGCCTTGAATGCGTATGAAAGCCGGACAAGGAACAAGACTTGAATTGTGGTGCTCGCAGAGAACACTGAAAACACCAGGGGTTGCTATAAGGACAAACTGATCTGTGTTGGAAGAAATAGGGCCAGAGTGCTCCTTCGACGCAAGGTTGGTGATGTTGTCAGGAGAGACCAGTCCCTGGAGAAGGACATCCTGCTTGGTAAAGTGGAGGGCCAGCGACAAAGAGGAAGGCCCTGCATGAGATGGATTGACACCATGGCGGCAACAACGGGTTCAGGCATAGGAACAATTGTGAGGATTGTGCAGAACCAGGCAGTGTTGCTTATGTTGTGTTAGAGTCACTGTGGGTTGGAACTAGCTAGATGGCACCTAACGACAACAACACAACAACAGAAAATCAAGGAGCACCGATTGTATAGTTGGTTAATATGCGTTGAACTGCTAACCATAAGGTCAGTGGTTCAAACCCACCAGCTGGTCTGACTCAGAATTGACTTGATGGCAATGAGTTTAGTATGTGTTTGTTTTTTCCAGTCACAAAACACACAAACAAAAGAGAAACAACAGCTCCTCTAAATGGTACAAAAATGCATCTATGGAAGGCCAAAGAAAGAAAAGAGTGGAAGAATATAACCTAACAACGTTCCTTTCCCACAACCAAAAACTGATCTGAGTGGTTTAAAAAGAAGAAAAGTAACATTGAAACTGGACTTCAATCGTTTTGTAACGCATGGGCTAGTTTCAAACAAATAACAACAAAAATAAAAACAAACAGAAAATATAAAAACCATTAACTCCCAAGGTTTTTGGAACTGGATTTCAATTTCTCAATGAGCTTTTTAGCCTTCCTGTGTCCCACTGAGCTGCCTTCTTTCTGTAGTTTACTCGCTTTCCCCCCATATTCTTTTCTGGTCTACATTTAAAAAAAATTAGTATCAATAAGAGGAAGAACCCCAAAACATGAAAGAACTGAGTAAGCTAGATAAGAAAAACCCCGTGAAAGGGAAAAATTCTTCCTAGGAGAAGAAAAGAGATCAAGTAAGGGGAAGGTGGCTAGGAGAAAGGGGGAACCGATCGCAAAGATCGACATATCCCCTCCCAGGGAGACGGACAACAGAAAAGTGGGTGAAGGGAGATAGCAGTCAGTGTAAGACATGAAAAAATAATAATAATTTATAAACTATCAAGGGTTCATGGGGGAGGGAGGGGAAAAATGAGGAGATGATACCAAGGGCTCAAGCAGAAAGAAAATATTTTGAAAATGATGATGGCAACATAGTACAAATGTGATTGACACAATGATGTATGGATTGTGATAAGAGCTGTATGAGCCACAAATAAAATGATAAAAGAAAAGGCATCAAGAAAGCCAGCCCCTCACCTGAGGAAGAAAGAAGGAAGGTGGTGCCAGGCAATCTAAATACCAGCTTAGGTCAAGAGAGCAGCTTATTCCCCAAACTTCAGCCATGTTTCCTCCCTCCCAACCTGAGCTGAGCACTCTACATGTCACCTCTCCAGTGTCCCCCACTCACCTGGACATATGGGTGGTTGACATTTTTCCTCCTCTCTCCAGGTCTCTCTTCCTTGCTCTAGCTCGGTGATGAGTTTTGGTTTAGAAAATCGAATACCTGCACACAGGAAAAGAAAATATCTTGACTAAATAATGCGGCCAAGGGCCCATTCCAGAACTCAAAAGCCAAACTAGGTGGGGATTTCAAAAGGCAGAATCAAAGAATTGAGACTAGTAAGTTCTCAGCATGAAAGGGAAGAGTAAAGGCAGTAAACTAGGATGAGAGAGCTATTGTTGATTTGCTACACCATTCTGGTGGATGAATACTTCCTTAGTTTAGTGAAGATGTCCTGGGAGAACCCCAGCCTAGGAGAAAAGGCCTAAAAATGCGGAATCTCAATCAAAATCAATATTTCTCTCTTTCTCTTGCGCCCTCTCCCCTCTCCCACCCCCTCTCTCCCTCACACAATCTACCGCTTTGTTTTTGTTTGTTTGGGTTTTTTTAAATCATTTTATTGGGGGGGCTCATACAACTCTTATCACAATCCATACATACATCAATTGTGTAAAGCACAGTTGTACATTTGTTACCCTCATCATTCTCATAACATTTACCTCGATAGAATTCAGACCATCCCTGGGGAAGCAAGTAAAAAAAGTCTTTGCAAAGGCAAAGTCCTAACAGCATGATGGGCGCTTCAAACATAGTCTGCGATGCTTTGGGGCAAGAAGGGAGTCCTAAGAGGAGCCATGCTCACCCAGGGAGACCAGGTTTCCATAGTTCTCCAGCATCACCTCCTTGTACAGGTTTCGCTGAGCAGAGCTCAACAGCTGCCACTCTTCCTGAGAAAAATCCACTGCCACGTCCCTGAATGCCATGTGTGCCTGGAACACAAAACACAGTCCTGCACATCCAGGAGCCAGCCACGCCCATGGGTCAGGGTGAGGGACAAGGATGCCTTGAGAAATATATAATGGTTCTGCCTTTGACAGCAGCCCTGATACCCGTGTTCTAAGAACTTTACACTGCTCTCTCTCCCCAGCACTTGTGGAGCTGTTTTGGGATATCAATGTGAAAAAGAGAGTCTTTAACTTTGTAGAACTTTAAATCTAGGCAGAGAGAAAAGCAAACAATATATGAAAATTAAACAAAAGAGAAGAAATAAAATGGAAACTCTGTGCTGCCTGGAAATCCAGCCTCTAGAGGAGGGGCCAGCAAAGTATGGTCAAAGGGCTAAATCAGGCCCACTGCCTGTTTTTGTAACTAAATTTCTGTTAAAATCAGCAAAGGGATTTGTTTATGCACTGTCTCCTACATATGCACTGTAGTAACAGAAATACTTCAATGGACTTAAAGACAAGATAGACCACAATACGTAAAATAATTATCAGCTGGTCCTTTATAGAAAAAATATCCTTGCTTTAGAATCTAAAGTTTCGGTGAAGGTAGTGCTACTTAAAAATTCTAGAGTTGACAATGCTATAGGGAGGTGTTCTAAGATAGGGCGTAAATGTAAAACTTACATAATAATTTTGGTGACCGAATTAAAGGATCTTTGTCAGTTTTGCTTCAGGCTGGTAAAATCAGCAGCCCATAAGGGTTAGGGTAGATGTCTCATAAGCCTAACTCTTGAATCCCATTGAAAATTCCACGCTGTGCAAATGCTGCAGGGCTACCTTTAGGTGGCAAGGCCTAGCTGTGGGCCTCTTAGCCCAGCTGTCAATTCTGCAGCTAGCTGAGGGTCGTTCTTGGTCGGCTCTCTTCAAGCTGCCCCAGGGATTTGCTCTGGTTAATGCTCCACACAAAAACATCTTTGAGAAGAACCCTGTTTCTCTCCCACTAAGCTTTTATTGTTCCTTCCCCAGGGTTCCTCCCTCTCAGTAGACTTCTGTCAAATTATCTGCCAACTCCCTTTCCCTACACTGCACAGTCTTGGGAATGGCCCTAAGACATCCACTCTTGCCCAGAGCGCCCGGAGTCACAGGTCTAATCAGCCCGACGTGCACAGAATTGTAAACAGAGGTGGCAGTGGTTCTTACCACTGTGCTTATACACATGATCATCAGCGGTTTGCTTCTTTTTTCCTTTTACTCACAGGTAACATAGGTGCTACCGCATATCAATTATATCAGACTCTCTGAAATCAGTCAGGAAATTAGTGTTGTTGTTTTTGTATTTTAAGTTCCCCAGCATAGCCAGGGTTCTCAGTTACTGGGTCAAAGGAATGACACAATAGAGAGGTCACTACAATAGAGAAATAAGGGAAAGTTTCATGGGAGAGGCCTGGGAATTTCATCTTCTGGAAGGATGAAAAGGAATCAAGGCAAGAGGGGAAAGCTAAGGCATTCCAAATGAGCCATGTAGGGAGCAGGAGAGGGGAACCAGGAGCAAAGACACAACTTACAATGTGTGCAATGTGTCCACTATCTGGCTGGAATTAAAGGCAAAATAAAGAATGAGGAACAGGTTTTATCATGGGAGTTCAGCAGCCTGGACATGTCTTGAAGCTAAATAAAAGAATTCAGACACTATCTTGTAGTGCAGAATTGCATATTGTTCAGAGTAAACTCCTTGCTGGAAGACCTGGTAATAGGTGGATCAGAGGGAAGCTCAGGGTGGGCTCAGGGGAGATGTGTCATACCTTCAGGGTGAAGCTGGACTAGTCTGCCAGGTATCGAGGTAGTCAGGGACAAGAAAAAGATGTGTCCACCCTATGACGTAGGAAAGAGCAGGAAACACTCACCTCTCCCCTGGCTCTCCAGAGCCCTGTGAGCATCCTCTTTCTGGTGTCCCTAAAGGAGAGTGTCTCAGAAGGCAGATCTGGGTAAGGAAAACAGGAATGAGACTGTCAGGTCCCCCGTGAGTGCAACTTGGTCTGCTCTCAGCCCCACAACCAGGCTATCACTGTTCGTTTCTCCAGGAGCAGGCTGGAAAGGGGCACAGAGAGCCAGGCCTGTGACAGACAGGCTCAGGCCCAAACTCTCTTGATTCTAACAAACCAAATGGGAGGATGCTTTTCATGTCTTTGGAGAAACATGAAAAATAACCTGAACACATGATATTAATGTAGCATTATTACTTTGGCAGTTGTGAAAATGGTTTTACATTTGTTTTTTCAAAGAAATGCATATTGAAGTATGGATAGAGATGATTTATGGGATTTGCTTTAAGAACGTCGCAGAAAAATGGATACTTCTTAGACATAAGTAAACAATTCATGGAATTGGGTTACTGGATTTGAAGATTTAGGGCTATAGTCTCAGAAGTATCTTGGTCAATTAGTGTGTTAGTCTGTGTAGACTAGAAAGACAAATCCAGAGATATTCATATGTGTGTAAGAAAGAGCTATATATTAAGGACCAATTGCATATTGAAAAAACATCTCAGCCCAGTTCAGATCAAGTCCATAAGTCCGATATTAGCCTATAAATCCAAGACTAGTCCATAAATTCCTCTGCAGACTCACTCAGCACATTGCATGCAGCACATGCAATGATACTGAAGGCAGGATGATCACAGGCCAGTGGGTGAACAATCTTGTGGATCCAGTGGCGATGGAAGCATCTCATAAAATGAGGATTCACTGGACTTCAGAAAGAGATTTTTAAAAAGAAAAAAAATGGTATCAAAAATTATACCATTAGGTGGGAGGAGTCAAAATGGTGACCAAGTAGAATCACCCGCCAGGTGCTCCTGTTCTTAGATGGGAAGAGTTAAGAGGAAAGGGAGAGAGGGACCAGACCTCATCCCCAGTGAGCCAAGCCTTGAGGGCACTAACCAGCATGGATCAGTGAACTAACAGAGAGGATTCCAGAGCGGGCCCCAATCCCAGCTATACTGACCCCTCCCCAGAAGAATGTACTACAGAGGACAACACTGAAGATATAGCACAGGGAGAGTGGGGGTGGGGGTGGGGGTCTGCCCAGAGCACATGGGAGCCATCAGAGAGAGAGAAAGAGAGCAAGAGAGAACTGCATCCTCGCCTATCAAGGGGCGACATTCCTGCTCGGAGCAGCCAAAGCACAGGACCATAGGGCCTACCCCACCACAAGGCATGGTGTCCCCTCACTGACCCACAGCACTACAGGGGACAGCCCTGGAGATACAGTGTGAAATTTGTGCCCAGTCTGACCCCACCCCCACCAGGGGGTGAAACTCAAAGGGAGCACAACAGAGCAGCAAGGGGCGGAAAGCAACGAAATCCCTGAGGAATCCCGAAAATAGACTTCTGACTGGGAGGCGGGGGTGGGGCAGGGCAGGGCTTGGCACCTCATCAGACCCAATCAGAAAACATTCATAAGAGTCAGCAGGCAGACCTGAATAATTTATAGCCATTTTTCCTACATCTGTCTATATAAAGTAGTTAGGATAGTTTACCAAGAAGAAAGACAAAGATGATTCCAGGGAGACCTGGGAGAGGAGGAGGTGGTGGAGGGAGGAGGGAGCCAACAAATCCTGGGACAAGGGAACAACAAGAAATCTAAAATCAATGGTGAGGAGGGCATAGAACGCCTGGTGGGGTTTTATCAAGTGCAATGTAGCCAAAAGGAATTACTGAGAGCCAAATGAAGGTCGCACATGATAGTGGGACAGGAGGAAAGTAAAAGGAAATAGAGAAAAAAAACGAGGAGGCAAAAGACATTTATAGAGGTATCAATATAGGCATGTGTGTTAGTCCGGGTAGACTAGAGAAACAAATTCGTAGACATTCATATGTGTATAATAAAGAGCTTTATATAAAATAACAATTATACATTAAGAAAACATCCCAGTCCAGATCAAGTCCATAAGTCCAATGTTAGCCCATATGTCCGTTACCAGTCTATAAATTCCTCTTCAGACTCACACAAAACATGCAATGATGCCGAATGCAGGAAGATCACAGGCCAGTGGGTGGAAAGTCTTGTGGATCCAGTGGCAGTGGAAACATTTTAGCACCGGCATGGGTCACCATATGGCTCCTCCGCTCCAAGGCTCTGGCTGCCATCAGCCTAGTTCCATCTGGCTTTTCTACAGGAGTGTCTCGGAGGGAGTGAGTGTGTCTGGCTTCCAGTGAGCTATTTATCTCCTTTGCCCCTCCAAATGAGGTCATCAAGCTGCGACATGATTGACAAGCTAGACTCCACCCCTTCGTAAGTTAACAGATTATGTAACTATCACAGCATGTATATGTGTAAATATATGTTAATATATAACTATAGGGATATAAGTCTATGTACATATATTTATATGATAAGTATTAGCAGGTGGGCATTGGGCCTCTACTCAAGTCCTCCCTCAACGCAAGAACACTTTGTTCTAATAACCTGGTATTCTTTTATGCCCACCTTCCTGACACAATTGCTGAAGACAAAATGGATGCATAAGCAAATGTGGTGAAGAAAGCTGATGGAGCCCGGCTATGAAAAGATATAGTGTCTGGGGTGTTAAAGGCTTGAAGTTAAACAAGCAGCCATCTATCAGGGAAGCAACAAAGTCCCATGGAAGAAGCATACCAGCCTGTGTGATCATGAGGTGTTGATGGGATTAGGTATCAGGCATCAGGAAGACCCAAAACAATCCTAGAGCTGCCCCCTCTGGGTTTCCCAGGCTAGAAGTCTTTACAAGAGTAGAAAGCCTCGTCATCCTCCCAGGAAGTGGCTTGGGGGTTCCAACGACTGATCTTGTGATTAACAACTCAATGTGTAGCCCACTTTGCAACCAGGGCTCCTTCTATATCGAGCCACATGATCCTTTAAGTAAACAACAGAGGAAAAAAAAAACTCACTACCGTCTGGTGGTTTCCAATTCATAGTGACTATAAGTCAGTGTAGATCTGTCCCTGTAGGTTATAGTCCAAGACTATAAATCTTTACGGGAGTACAAAGCCTCACCTTTCTCCTTTGGAGCAACTGATGGTTTCGAAATACAGACCTTGGTTAGCAGCCCAACTAGTAACCCACTACACTACCAGGGATCCTTCTTTCAACTAAAAAGGGTAAAGATAATGTTTTATACATGTGAGAGCTTGGGAAATTCTATAGCCATGAGACTACTAAAATGAATATCATTTAACTAATTGGGGCAGTTACATAATCTGGTGTCAATTTTAGACTAGTAAGAGTGAAGGGGGGGAGTTTAGCTTGTTAACTGGGTCACATATTGGTGGCCTCATTTGGAGGCGCTAATAAGATAAATAACTCATTGGGGGCCAGACCTATACTCTCTGCTTGGTCTTCCTGCTGACAAGACACATGGAGCTATGCTGATGGAACCAGAGCCCTGGAGCTGGAGGAGTCACGTGGATACCCATCCTTCTCCCCACCTTCCCCTGAGATGCTTCCACCGGATCCACAAGACTTTCTACCCCCTGGCCTGTGATCTTCTTGCTTTAAGCATCATTGCATGTGTTGTGTGAGTCTGAAGAGGAATTTACAGACTAGTTCAGACATATGGGCTAATATCAGGTTTATGGACTTGATCTGGACAAGGCTGGGGTGTTTTCTCAATATACAATTGCTCTTTTATATAAAGCTCTTTCTTATACACATATAAGTGTCTCTGGATTTGTTTCTCTAGTTTACCCAGACTAACACACTAATTCGTGACATACTTTGGACGTGTTGTCAGGAAAGAACAGTCCTTGGAGAACGACATCCTGCTTGGTAAAGTATAGGGCAGAGAAAAAGAGGTGGGCTCTCAACAAGATGGACTGACATAGTGGCTGCAACAATGGGATCAAACATAAGAACATTTGTGAGGATGGTGCAGGACCTGGGGGTGTTTCATTCTGTTGTACATAGGAACCAACTTGATGGCACCTAACAACACCAATTTCATGACCAAGAGAACTTCGGTAAAAGAACTGATGGCCAGGATATAATATGTATACATAACCACGACCACAGAGAGATGGCACATAAAGAACAGTCAGGACTGAAAGAAAAATTTTAGCTGGAGAAGAAGCTCGGCCTTTCACAGTGGAGTGAAAGCCAAGTCTGAGAGAAAAGGGAAAGTTAGCAAGAGTAGCCTCAGAGACTGGGTGGAAAAATCTAGAAACCTAGAACACAGTGAAAGGATGTTTTAAGAAGGTGAAAGAATATAACTCTGCAAAACGTGGTTGGGAACTGTTTAAGCCACATTGGAGACCTTGACAAAAATATATTTTTGGTGAACAGAGCCAAAAAGTCTTATTTCAATAGAAAATGAAAGGACAGTAACGGGTAGTAAATGGCACTGAGTTGGACTTGACTCACAGAGACCCTATAGCATAAGGTAGAACTGCCCCTGTGGGTTTCCGAGACTACAACTTTTGTTTAAAACAGTTTTATTGGCATATAATTCATACATTACACAATTCAATAGCTCAATCACATCAAGAAGAGTTGTGCAATCATCACCACAATCCGTTTAAGAGCATTTTCTTCACTTTGGTACTCATCATTTGCCCCCAACCTCCCCTGTCCTACCCTTCAAGGGACCATTAATTCAGTGACTGTCTGTAGCTTCCCCTACCCTGGATTTCATCTACAGAAACACTGGAAACTAACAACAAAGTAAAACAGATAAAAACCTCAATCAAAAAGAAAGCAGAAAATATTAGAAACTAGAGCAAATTGAAAATGGGTCAAAAGGTCAAACTATAAACTAGTACACTTTAATCCAAATGCACCTGCAACAATCCACTATGCAGGCCTTCTGCATGACAGCCAGGCTGTCCACATTCTCGGTGATGGTCAGAAGTTCACCAGAGGCTTAATCCAGTGTGTTTCCTACACTTTTTAAAAAACTGAAACAACTTTAAAATTAGTCAAAAGGGAGATCAAATGATGTTACATTTTAACCTAGCTGCATCTGCCTTAATGGACTTTACAATGCTCTCTGTCTGAGCAAAGCTATTCACATCTCTCAGCTATTCACATCTCTCAACTATGAGCAAAGCTATTCACATCTCTCAACTCTACACATCTATCAACTATGAGCAAAGCTATTCACATCTCTCAACTGAAACCATGTGTGAACCTGCAAATTGACTTTGGGTTTCCACAGTCATCCACAGCCTTCTGCAAACCAGATGTTCACAATTTAAGCGCTGATCCCATTCCCTCCTTTGGATTTTGATTTTATTGCTTACAATAAGATATTATGTATTATTATTGGATCACACAGGCTAGTGTGCTTCTTCCATTTGGGCTTAGTTGACACCTCACTTAGATGGCTGACTTGTTTTAAGACAAGCCTTTAAGACCCCAGACAGTATTCCTTGGGATAGCTGGGCACCATGTAGTTTCTTCAGCACTTTGCTGTAGCACCCACATCTTCAGTAATCTCTTCATGACAGTGAGCCATGACAAAAACTAATTGTTCTTAGATTAGGGCTAGAATTAAGTGTAAGCCCCAAATGCATTCATTTATCTATGACTTATATATGTCTCTGGTTCACCTTAGAGACATCACTGTCATTTTATGTTAGAGAACATCATCAATGTTCTGAGGCATTACTTCCACTGCCACTGAGTCAATGTTGACTCACACTGACCCTATGGGAAAGGGCAGAACACCCGCGTGAGTTTCCAAGACTATAAATCTTTATAGGAATAGAAAGCCTTTCTCTGGCAGAGCTGGCTGGTTTTGAACTACTGGCCTTCAAGTTAGCTGCCTAATGTGTAACCATTACACATTGATAGTGTCATTAATTTAGCTAATAGTATAAAATATAAAATATTGTTGCAAAAGGGAAATTAAAAAGTATTGGCCAGCTATGAACCACAATACATGAACTGCTGGCTTGTACTGATTAAACTTTTAATTACCTATATACTCGAGTATACGTCAACCCGATTATCAGCCGAGGCACCTAATTTTACCACAAAAACTGCATTAAAAATGTGCTAAAAACTCGGCTTATACATGAGTATATATAGTAATTGGGTACTATTTACATAAACAATGGGGGTTGGTGATAGGGTAAAACTTTCATTAATATTTATTCACAATGGTGAATTATTCACATGCTTATCAGATGACTACATATCACAGTGAAGCACAGAGGGCATTAAAATAGTAAGTGTGTGGTGTCTGGGTCACCATTTATCCGGCACCCTTAAGGCGAGCGATGCACAGTAAAGTCCAACCTTCTCCAGTCCTGCGCCCTTGGGCTGGCAGTCACCTGCTTCTTCTCACACCACTGAGTTTCAGCCGTTAGTCCAAGGCTACAAATGAGTTTGAAGTAAAGTCCAGTTCAAGTAGTGGGGTTTCCACGTTAAGACCCTCTGGTGTGGCCTGTGAAGGATGTTGTGCACCTTGAGAGAACACGAGTCCAAGAGACTGTAACTCTTTATGGGAGTAGAAAGCCTCGTGTTTCTCCCGTGGAGTAGCTGCTGCTTACAAACTAGTGACCCTGCTATCAGCAGCTCAATGAGTCAGCACTACATTGCTCAGGGTGTTAAATATTCATTCTTAATTTTGCTAGGTATAATTAAATTGTAGTAATGTTACAAGACGTCCTTAAGGTTAGAGATGCCTACAGACGCATTAGCAGGTGACATGTCTATGGGATTAGCTCCAAACTACTCTATCAGGGAAAACAGAGGAGCACCCATAAAAGACCGATAGGCAGCTTCCTGGGGACAGGTAGTATGTAAGCTGTGAGTGCACACAGCCTGCCCTGACATGTCGCTAACATTGAGGATGAAGCTGATCTTCTCTGTGCCTCTAGAATCTTAAGGTTTGCTGTTAACAATAAAAGTTATTATTTGTTGTTAGTATACACCAGAAACGGTTCCAAACCTGGTGTGGGTTTTAACTCATTCTATCCTAACAACTGCCAATGAAATAGATATTATTTACTACCCTCAGTTTACAGATGAGAACACTGAGGAACAATGCTTAAGGTGACACAGCTATGAAATGACTGAAACTGTGAAATCTTGCTCTGCAGGGCTATCATATGAAACAGTAAAAGCAGTGATGGCAAGCCTGTGTCGGTGTGGGCTGTCAAGATTTTGAGAGGAATCAGGATTGGCCATGAGGTGGTCACAAAGCAGTAAAGGGTTGAATCTGGGTGAGGAAAGTGTTGAATCTGGGTGAGGAATCTATAGACTTCTATCTATTCCTGGCTGTTTGAAATGCCTTCAAAATAAAAAGTTAAAAATGAGATAAGGAACCCTAAAGTTTAGCTACACCAGAGATATGGGACTCCATGATTCCTGTGGTCAATGACAGTCCCTGAGAGATCACTACTGAAAAAAACAGTAACAATTGTGTTATTTTAAGGGTTTTCCTACTCGTGAGACCAAATATTAACCATAAAAAAAAATCCTAACCAAAAATGAACCCCACCATCAGCTTTTTTCACCCAAAGTTGCTAATTTGCTCTCTCCTGTTCAAAGCTGAGCTTAATTAATTTTAATTTTTTAAAGTATGTGGTTATAGGTAGGTAAAGGGCCAGAGATCACCTTGTAACTTCAAAGCTGTAGATGTCAGTAACAAGGGGAAGTCATACTAAAATTTGCCAATACTGGATTTTCTATTTTTCTCCCTCCTTGTCCACTTCTGGTCCTTTGCATGCGGTTTGTTAGTCGGAATGATCTCCCTGTAATTCATATAGAATGACTGCCCGGAGTAAACCTTATGGTTTAGGTTCTTAGAGCTTTAATTTATTTTAAACAGCTTTTACACCCCAGTACCCATAATGGCCTGCCCACTTCCAGTCCACCAAAGGCAAATTTGGCCAATTCAATTCGACCCTCACTCTGTCCAGCAAACCCTAAAAGTAGATGGGCCCGAAGCAACAACACCAGCTCCCCTGCACTCAGACCCAGACACATGGACCGTCAGGTGGCCCCCATGCCACTACTTTGGGAATATCACGTCCCGAAATGCCTATTTATCCACCCCACTCCCCATACCAGTAGACTTAGAATAGGACCACTCATTCCAAGATTTCTGCCCAGCTCACAAAAATTCTGGAACGAAAGGCTGAGCGCGACTCCGTTTACCACCAGATTCCACAGTCACCACACTCCCTCGGAGATGCACACCCACGCCGCCCAGACACATCCGGGCGAGCACGGCCTCAGCCCAGCAGCGCGTCCCCACGACTGCCCCCAACTGCACCCCGCTCCACCGGCGCGGTCTCAAGCGTCAACTCCTCAAGATCTTCTTTCCCACGGCTGGGGCGGGGAGGGAGGGGACAAAGAGCAGGGCTACGGGCAGGGTCCCGCGGGAGTCTCACTCACCAGTGCCACCAAAGAACAAGGGCTGCTCAGCCACCAGCTGGAGAGCTACTCCAGCGGCGAGCCGGGACTACGTTACCCAGAATCCTCTGTGGGACGTCAGCACCGCCCCCTGCTGGTGCAGGAGTCACTCGTAGTTCCACAGGCCTCCGCAGGTGCGGGCTGTGGGTGCCCTGCAGTAACCGCCTGGCCAGTGACCGCTGCAGTATCAGGATCCCCCTCTTGTTTCTGTAGCCCACTTGCATGAGCCATGCAGATAAAGCTAAGTGACGTTCCCAGCCGTGCCCCGCCCTCTCAGGCCTTGGCCCCAAAGACTACATTCCCCAGAAGGCCTTGCGGTGACTTCTGCTTCCGGCATCGGGTCCGACCGCTCGGAGCACGAGATAACGTGAGGGGAGCGTCTGCTCTCCGGTGGCTTGGGGCTTGGGGCTTGGGGAGTTGGACTCTGCTCCTTTACCGGGCTTGTTTACATTACCGTGATCTTCGGTCTCCCACGTCAGAGTCCGAAATCTACGCCCCGCATTTGGTGAGCGCCAGGCGAGCGGGGCCAGGTTCAGCGCACATAGCCTGTAATCGCTGAAGATTATAGACGGCTAAGGCAGCAGAGCAACCCGTCCGGGTCTTACATTCTGTATTCAGACTCCAGCACCGCAACGCAAGACCAAATGAGAGGGTGGAGCTGAGCCTCCGCTCTGTGGGCCTTTGTCCGATGGGGAGCTGCGGAACAAGCCCCACTTCGCTTGGGAGGATGGCTGTTGCATACTGGCACCATCTCTCATCGCTGTACCTTTCTGGGGCCCACCATCTGAAGCTGCCCTTTAAAATATTCTCATGCCCAAAGGATATGAGAATTTCTTGAAGTTCTTCCTAAATCTTGGAGGTGTTATGGGGGAGGGAAAAAAAACCCACCTAAATTTCATATATAATTTAATAAGATACCTTTATTAAGCCTTAAAGAAAACAAAGGCACATCATCTGGATGAGGGAGACAAGCACAGGTGATATGTGTGTCCAAGGTGTCCAAAGATTTATAGAAACAGGGCCACTGAAATAGGAATACAAGGGAAATTATTACAAAAGCATAATTAGTGGTGGGTCAATATGTCACAGTTGCAGGTGGGACTACATAAGCAGGAAAGGAGCCAAGATTGAGAATACACAATTCTGGATAAATAATATGAAACAGGTTAAGAGCCCTCTGATCAAGGCTTTCAAGGTAGGACTCATGACCAAGCAGTCCTATCAAGGATATCCTGCCCATCCCCTAACCCCAACCCCAACCCCCTGCCTCCCCCCACCCCCATTGGCTAGGGAGTGATAGAAATCTGCCTTCAACCGAAATGATTCACACTGCTGATTAATAGTTAGAATTCAATGGAGGCTGAATCTATGTGGAGATTTAAAATATGTCTTTGGAGCTTTCATCTTATACTACCTCACTTGATCGCAACTCATATCGACTCAATATATTAAAGTAGAACTGGCCCTCTGGATTCATGAGGCTGTATATCTTTACCAAAGTAGAAAGCCTTATCTTTCTTCCTAGGGAGTTCGAACTGCTGCCTTGGTTAGCAGCCCAACTGGTGACCCACTATGCCACCAGAAAGTAGCCTTCCTCAAACCTAGTGTTCAGAAGTTAAGCTCTAATACAGAGAATAATTTCATTCTCCTCTCTTGCTCTAAGGCTGCCATGTTGAAACCAGCTTTAGCGTAGCTCTGGTCCTGGAGAAATCTCTTACATGGAGTTTTCCCTCAGCACACATCTCTGCCCTCCCCATGACTCGATCATTCGCCAGTAAGTTAGCCTTTAACACACTTGGAGAAATCAAAGTCACAATGCAGGGATGCCCATTTTTAAGAGTCCGGTGATGACAAACTTGTCTATCAATTTGCGTACTATGGTCGCTTCTGGTTTTTGGTGATGCTGGAAGCCATGCTACTAGTATTTCAAATGCCAGCAGGGTCACACAGCGTATACAGGTTCTGGGGAGCTTCTAGACAAAGAACAGACTGAAGAGGAAGTAGCCAGTGAAAACCTTGTGCATAGCTTTGAAACACTGTCACAAACAGTGCAAGCAGAACAGTGTTAGAGACAGTGCCAGGGGTTGGTCCCCTTGGGTAGGAGGCACTCAAAATGCGACTGAAGAAGAGCTGCTCACTCAAAGTAGAGTCCACCATGGTGATGTCAACGGAGCAAAGTGTGTGGGAGTAAAGCCTTCCAGGTCTTCGTTTTCTGATGGGGCACAACTCAAACTGAGAAGAAACATGCACAATCGCATAATTGGAACTTGGAATGTATGAAGTATGAATCCACAAAAATTTGAAGTTGTCAAAAATGGTGAGCTGAAATGGACTGGTACTGGCCATTTTGAATCAGAGAATCATATGATTATTGTGCCAGGAATAACACAATCAAAAGTAATGGCTTTGCGTTTGTTGTCAAAAGGGACATTTCAAGCTCTATTTTGAAGAACAATGCTGTCTGGATAGATAGAGGATTATATCTATCTGCCTTCAAAGAAATCCAATCACTACAATTACAAATCAAATCAAATTTATGCACCCACCACTAAAGCTAGTGATGAAGAAATTGAAAAATTCTACCAATGTCTTCCTTCAAAAATTGATCAAATATGCACTCAAGATGCATTGATAATTGTTGGTGACTGAAATGCAAAAGTTAGAAACAGAGAGGAACAGTAGTTGGAAATGTGATCTTTGTCATTAAAATTAACCTGGAGATCAAATGATAGAATTTTGCCAGACCAATAAACTTGTTCATAGCAGATACCCTTTTCAACAACACAAATGGTGATTATACACATGGACATCTCCAGAAGGAATACACAGAAATAAAATTGACTACATCTCTTGTATGAGATGATGGAGTGTTGCATCCCGGCCAGCGGGACGCACGAGCAGGACCCTGGGGGGAAAGACGAACCTGGATGGAAAGAAAGACACGGAGACGTGGAGCAAGACAAATGCTGATCAAGCTCGTTTATTTGGGCAAAGTTAGGGGAATATAAAGAGGAACTGGGAGGTGCATATTCTGATAAGGTGTGCTGCACAGTATCCAATCCAACATGTATTATTATAATGAAGCATAAGAATGTTAACCAATCGGCTATCCATCATATTCTCAATATGGTATGTTTGTAGTCCAATGAGTGCTTAGTATTTCAACCAATGGGTGAAGAGTGGGGAAGATAACCAACCAAGGTCACGTGGCTGCAGAACAGTTACAGATGCACAATAGTCAAAGAACACTTCGGGGGGAGACGGAGGGTAACACAGACTGCAAACTGCCTCAGACATTTTCATAGAACAAGGAAGCTTTGGTGACTAAGATATCTTTTAAGGCATAACCACCTGCCAGTAATTTTCCACTAGGATTGGTCACTGTTTGAAGGACCTTGAGAATGTCTGCTAGGGCCGGCTCCCAACAATGGAGAAGTACAATATCAATATCTGCAGCTAAAAGTAGGGCATGGACTGACTGTAGAATAGACCACTAATTGTCCATATGTAAGTTCAGGTTGAAGCAGAAGAAAATTAAAACAAGTTCACAATAGACAAAATATGACCTTGAGTATATCCAATCTGAATTTTGGGAACATCTCTAGGTCAGATTTGCTGCACTGAACACTAATGACAAAATAACTGATGAGTTGTGGGAAGATATCAAGATCATCACTCATAAAGAAAGCAAAAGGCCATTAAAAGGAAGTGAGGGGGGTGGGGGGTAGGGAATACCAAAGCGGATGTCAGAAAAGATTCTGAAGCTTGTTTTTAATCATAGAACAGCTCAGGCACATAGAAGAAATGATGAAGTCAACGTGGTGAACAGGATTTTTCAAAGGGTATCTCAAAAAGACAAAGTAAAATATTACAATGAAATGTGCAAAGACCTAGTATTAGAAAATGAAAAAGAACACACTCAGCATACCTTACACAGTAACAACTCAAGCAAAAATTCAAGCCTCAAATTGCAATATGGAAAGATTTTATAGGCAAAATATTGAATGATGCAGGAAGCATCCACAAAAAAAGGAAGGAAGGAAGGGATACACATAGTCACTGTACCAAAAAAAAAACTCATCAGCATTCCAAAATTCCAAGAGGTAGCATATAAGCAAAACCCAATGGCACTAAAGGAAGAAGTTCAAGCTACACTGAAAGCATTAGACAAAAACAAAGCTCCAGGAACTAATGGAATACCAATTAAAATGTTTCAACAAGCTGTTGAAGGACTGGAATCACTCACTTTTCTATGCCAGGAAATTTGGAAGACAGTTACTTAGCCAACTGACTGGCAGAGACCCGTATTTATACCTATTCCAAAGTAAGGTGACCAAACAGATTGCTTAAATTGTAGAACAACTTTATTAATATGACATGAAAGTAAAATGTTGCTGAAGATTATTTAACAACTGCTGCAGCAGTACATTGACAGGGAGCTGCCAGAGGTTCAGATCAGATTCAGAAGATGTGGAACAAGGGATATCATTGTTGATGTCAGTTGGATCTTGGCTCAAAGTAGAGAACACCAGAAAGATGTTCACTGTGATTTATTGACTATACCAAGGCATTCAACTCTGTGGATTATAACAAACTATGGATTTTCATAATGAGAATTCCAGAGCACTTTATTGTGTTTATGTAGAACTTGTATATGGATCAAGATTGTTCTGTTGTGTGAATAGAACAAGGGAATATTTCATGGTTTTAAAAAAGGAGAGATGTATCCTTTCACCACATTTAATGTGTGCTGAATAATTAGAGAAACTTGATTATATGAAGAAGAATGTGACATTAGGATTAGAGGAAGGCTTCTTAAACACCCGCAGTATGCGCATGACAAAATTTTGCTTGCTGAAAGTGGAGAGGATTTGAAGGACTTGCCGATGAAGATCATGGATTGCACGTCTAGAGAAATGCATTGTATTACTGTATCAGTTTTGCTGTGTACACAGAACACTGGGCAAATGCAGAAATATTTTGAATGTTGTGAGCAAAGATTTTGTGTTCCCCTGTTCAAGCTCGT